AGACAGAGACACAAAGAATGGGGGACAAAACGTTGAACAAAGGGAAAACACTGGGAAACTGCAAAAGAAGGAAGGAAGGAAAGGATGAAGGGAAGCAAAGAAGGAGGGAAGGAAGGAAGGAAGGGAGAAAGAAACCAGCAGCAAAGCACTTGTCCTCCTTACGTCCACCTTCAAGTGTCTCAGGATGAGACCTGTGGGCTTTTGTAAGCTTATTGGTCTTGGCATTTCTATATGGTTTGGCTTTAGATAATAGTCAAGTTATTGAGAAATCCCAGCATATTCAATCTAGATAGGAAGACAATTGGAAAAGATTAGTCCTAGAAAGTCATTGGACAATATCTATTAAAATTTGTTTGTGTTTCTATCTATGCACATGTGTACATGGACATGTGCCTGCGTGTGTGTGTGTATATATATATATCTTTTGATCTAATAATATCAACATTTGCAGTAAGCTTAAGTAGTAAAGTCAATGGCGTATAGTGAGGCATGTACAAAAATCCTTACTACAAAATTATTTGTAGAGGGGGGAAAGTTAAAAGCAATCAAATTGCCAATAAATGGGCAAATGGTCATATGAACTGGAGTACCAACCTCTCATAAATGAAATATTAAGCCATTGCTTTACAAATGAGTTAGCACTACCTGGAGGAATATCCATGAGATTTAAGTGATAAAAAGCGAATTTAACAATAATGTGTATTGTATAACCTCAATCTTCTGAAAATAAATAACCATACACCTTCAATTTAAACTCTTTTATGGGCATATGAGTTTACATATGTTTATATGAAAGTGGAGGAATTTGCAGAAAAGCATATATCAGTCCATTCATCTTGTTTGCATCAGGAGAATATGAGTGGACAAGAGGTCATGAGATGTAATTCATTTATCTTTTTATGTTTTATATGTCTTCTCTATTTACAATAAGTTAGTAATGTCTTTGTAATTTAGATGCAAGTGAAAGGACCTGGTCTCTCTCTAAGCATAAAACAAACGAGTGGAAAGGACACAACATCCGTAGTGCCAAGCATGGCACAAGTCTAGCAGGAGG